GTGTGTGTGTGTGTGTGTGTGTGTGTGTGTGTGTGTGTGTGAGAGAGAGAGAGAGAGAGAGAGAGAGAGAGAGAGAGAGAGAGATGCTGGCTTTTATGGACACGTGACCTGAAAATGCTGGATTTCATCGGAACGTTAGCTGAACAAGATCTGGCTCGCAGCCGAGAGAGACGCTCAGTGATATGACGGAGTCTACTAGGGATGGATTGTATTCTTGAGAAGAAGGGACGTCCTATGAACGAGCAGGATTGTGAAGGGGTACGGGAAGGGGGCGGCAGAGGGGGTGGTAGTTGGTGACGAACGGGAACGAAGAGGCGCACAAAGTGTCTGGGCGGCAGTCATCGCAGGCCGTTTTTTTTTTTTTGGATGGGATTTGGTAAAGGCAAGTCCGTCGCAGCTGTATTATTTTTGTTATTACACACAGCAAAAGTGGATTTATCCCGCGTCCCTGTCATTGCCATAGCAGCGATTGACATTGCTTACTACTCCTGAAAATACTTCTCAAGGAGAACGCAGAAAACTGTGGCGGCAAATCCCAGCGCGCGCGATCTTTGCACTAAAGGACTGGATGTGATTTGACTGATCCAACTGGGCGCAGTCGCGTTGTAGCAGCGCGCAGGGCCGCAGGCTACTGACTGAGAAGGGTATGTGTTTTTGGCGGGAGAGTTGACTGAAAAGGGTATATGTGTTTTTGGCGGGAGAGTTGTCCATGGGTCTCGCTGCACTACTCTCCACATTCAGAAAAGACTAAGTATGGCGGTGCATCTTTCCCTGTTCCAGCGGAAGATTCATTCTCATTTGCACTTTGGGAGAGTAGTGGCGCGAGGCCCAATGGCTGCTGCATGGGCCTTCCGGTGCCGTCGTAGTTATGGCGGGAGTAAAATTTGAATTGAATCACCGGTTGGCGAGAGGGCAGAGGCAAGTAGGGAGGAGGGTTGAGCTGTGGTGGTGTGAAGTGAGGGGTGGGGTTTTCGTTGAGGGACGGCGCTGCTGCTGCTGCGAATGGGTGCTGAGCTGGAGCACTACGCGCCCGCCACTTGGCCGGCGGCGGCGGCCTGTCGGCGTGATGTATTTATCATGACCAAAAGTTTTGCCGGCTCATCGCAGGTTGGACGACAAGTTGACGATCGCGACCCGACGCGTAGGCCGAGAATGTGGGGACCACCACAGCGGATGTCTCGAGGGTGGTGGTGCAATCTGCGTGATTCTCTTCCGGGTCATCGTTCCTCTTTCAAGCACGCCCCTTCCTTCTTCTTCCTCGTCGACATCGTCCTTGTGCTGCTGGTTGTCGTTGCCGCCGCCGACGACGGGAGGGGGGGGGGGCTGATGGGGCGGCACGGACAAAACAAGGTACAGAGTGAACATTCGGGTGGACATTCGCTGGTTGTCCTCGTTGTCGGCGGCGGGCTGATGCGGCGGCACGGACAAAAAGACAAGGTACAGAGTGGACAGTCGCATGAACATACGGATGAACATTCGGGTGAACATTCGCGTGCACATTCGCTTGTTGTCGTTGCCGGCGACAACGGCAACGGCGGGGTGATGTGGCGGCACCGACAAAACAAGGTAGGGAGTGAACATTCGCGTGAACATTCGGGTGAACATTCGGGTGAACATGCGGGTGAACATTTGCTCTTGATGTTGCCGTTGACGACGGCGAAGAGGACTCCGTGGTGGAGTTTGAACGTAGCGGCAGTGAGACGGATGGGCGATGGCGTCCCTGAGGAGGTAGTAGGGGAGGCGAAGATTTTCTGTCGGGGTGGGAGGAAAGGGAGAAGGGGAAGACGAAGGGGAGGGGGAGGGATGGGAGGAAGAGAAGAAGGGTTCTGGGTGTTCCAAGCGGGAGAGGAGGAACATCGAGAAGACGGAGCGGAAGGCCGAACAGAGGTGGGAAAGATGATGACGAGAGCTACTTACTCCCGTCGGTTTCTGTTAACAGCTGCGGAAGCGAGCCAGGGAGGACAGGCCTTCGTCACCAGCCAATCAAGCAGCAGCAATCAGTCAAGCACCAACCATTCAAACACCGATCTGTCTAGCAACGACCGCTATTCCCAGAGCAATAGCTCTACTGCGGCATCGTCGTCTGAAGCCGCAGATCGAAGCACACAGGCTCCTTCTTCTTTCTCACCGCGCCCCCCTCTTAGTCCTTCTTCTTCTTCTTCTTCTTCTTCTTCTTCTCCTCCTCCTTCATACCCCATCCGTCGACCTAAGGCTGTGACAGCTGAAGCTTCACGGAAGGGACATGGGGAGGGGAATGGCACGCAGAGTCTTCCTGCATCCGCTGAGGTCAGCAAGCCGGCGGTGGCGATTTACGGGACGGTGGTGGGTTTCGTTTTCGTCCTCTTCCTCGTGACGGCCATCGCTGTGACCTTCAGACAGTGTGTAGGGGTAGGTCATCCTCCTCCTACGGACAGCGTATCGTCCGACATGGCTGATCTTGGTAAGGATGAGGGGGCTCCCTTGCGGATGGGGAGGAAGTCTGACATGCCGGATGACGAACCGTCGAACAGTGTCCCGTTGCAACGTGCGCGTATCTCCATTCCCCGTCGGCGGCCCGGGCGTCTTCTTCCCGGCGAGCGCGAGGGAGAGGGAGAAGGGTACCAGGATTTGCAGAGCGGCGTAGTGTTCGGAGCGATGGGGACGGCGAAGAAATACGCGGCGGAGGAGATGAGGATCGCGACGATGAACTTCGCCGTCGAGATCGGGAGAGGCGGCTACGGCGTGGTTTACAAAGGGACTCTGCCCGACGGCACCGACGTGGCCGTCAAGGTCTTCAGCATGGACGCCAGGCAATCCGAAGCGGAGTTCCTTGCTGAGGTTACTGCCATCGGGCGGTTGCAGCACATGAACATCGTCTCCCTCCTAGGGTTCTGTACGGAAGGGAAGCTGATGATGGTCTACGAATTCATGGCTAATGGCGATCTACACGAAGCGATCTTTGGCCCTAAGATCCTGCTGGATTGGGAGAGAAGGAGGTCCATCGCCATCGACGTCGCGCGAGGTCTCGTCTACCTGCACGACGATTGCAAGATGCGCGTGGTTCATGGGGACGTCAAGCCGAGGAACGTGCTCCTGAATGGGCGGCTGGTTGCACACGTGGCGGATTTTGGCCTCGCCAGACTTATGAATCGCGACCTGTCGCAGCAATTCACGGACAACGTCAGGGGCACGAAGGCCTACATAGCGCCGGAGTACGCTTTAGATGGGGTCATATCCGAGAAGCTGGATGTGTATAGTTATGGCATCGTGCTATTGGAGATGGTGACGGGCCGGAAGCACCTTAGCAAGCTCGGAGCCAATGATCAGACGGGGCGGCTGCTGGGTCTGCCGGCGGTGGCGCGCGCCGCCCTTGCGCCGGGTGGGGCGGGCGTTCGGTCCGTCGTTGACCCGCGACTGCGCGGGGAGTTCGTGCGCGAGCAAGCGGAGATGCTCCTCTTCATTGGCCTCAGCTGTGTGGCTGTCGACCCAGAGACTCGCCCGTCCATGAGTCAGATTCTGGCTATGCTGCGAGGGCAGGTGGATGTGATCCGCTCCGACACCAAGGACATGATTCTCGATGTCTTCTCTGCCTCTGGGGAGCTGCTCGCTCCCCCCGACGGGACCACCGCCCCCCCGCTAGCTATGTCTCTCATAGACTGCGTGTCGACCAACATCGCTTCGGGTTCCAGCGTTGCAGGGGCACGGTCAACGTCGCCTTCGGGTAGCGCAATGGAGATCGTCACCGCCGATCTAACGACCACGAGCGATGACCCGTTGATGAGGTATTAACTCATCTTAGCCCCCAAACCCCCAAGCAGTGGTGGGTGGTGGATAGGTGGATGAAGAAGGAAAACGCTATACCGTCTTCACCCGAGTAGAACGCCCGGGCATTGTCGCTCGCTGTTTTTGGGGCACCTTTCAGTCTCGGTACGGCGATAATGACCGGGCATTCTATTCGCCTGAAGACGGGAGCTTAGTCCGGAAACACCTAACTGGTGTTGGATGATAGGTGGATGAAGAAGGAAAACGCTAATCAACCGAACATCGCTGCTACTCCTCAAGCTCTCTTAGTACGTTCTTGCGAGCGCCTCTACTATGTATTTTCTCCATTAATCTTTCTGTCATCCTTGATTGCCCAGGGGCCATGCTAATCTTCTTTCTCTGTATCGTTCTGCGTTCTTAATGTGTTGCCTTTGGTGGGAATTCACAAACTCTCTGCATACCCATCCCTGCATGCGCATCCCCCCGTCTCCTTTCCTTTTTTTTTTTTTTTTTTTTTTTTTTTTTTTTTTTTTTTTTT